ATTCGCGCGTTGGGGATGGCCTGCGAGGTATGATGGACAACAGCAGCTTACAAACGACGGGGATTAAACGTATTCCTCTGTAGTTGGAGCAGATTGTGCGCAGGCCCTTTTGAAGATGGGGACGACTATCGATTCACCCTAAGATGACGAAACGTCCTCCTTCGAACAAATTTTCGAGAACAAAGCGGTGAGTTCTTGAAACAGCGAAATGCCACCATCTTTAAATAGAGCTGGAGGAAGACCATCAGGGCCGGGGCTTTATAACACTTCATGTGCCGGAGCTGCTGCTCGATTTCCTGGGAAGAGGGAGGATCTGTGGAGGTAGACCACTCGGCTCCAGCGCGAGCGCCAGAGGTAGCAGATGGAGTTGGGGGCCAAGAAAACTGCGAGCCAACATGTTTGGCCCATCGCTCCAACCGTCGTTGAAGATTGGTGCATAAGGTGCCATCCACTTTCCACTTTGTTTCAGCTATACCAGATCGAACACCTTCGGTGACTCGAAGGAGATGGAAAAGTTTTCTGGTATTAACAGAGAGACTAGCAAGCTTCATCTCCCGAGCACGTTCACATCACCAAGCTTCGCGGTCCATTTGCAGACTCCTGCGCAACTCTCGACCAAGGTACTGGCGTGCTTCAATGTGTCTGGAATCTGATGGGAGCAAGCGGCGTCTGTCCGTCAGCGATAAGGCGTCGGCGGAAATCCAATGCTTCGGTTGGTGAAGGGCAACTCCACAAGTGTCGATACTGGTGGAAACTAAAGCATCTTTGATATGCGCCCACTGCGAATCGAGATCACCGTCAATATTTGAGGCAAACAAGGTTGGTAGTGAGGTTCGGTACCTGGTTAAAATCACATGTTTTGTAGATTCCCGACGTGCGATCGGTAGTGAGCGCGCTTAGGTGATCCTCCGAAACGCATGCAAATCGTAGCACGGACCAATGCGTGATCGGAGTCTAGATAAGTTGACCAGTACGATCGGCAGTCCGTTACGCTTCCGCGCCATCTGTAGCTGATTGCTATGTGGTCAAGCTGGGAGCATTCTTGCGTTTGTGAGCGCGGGCGCTAGGTAGCAGTGTGTCTCCTCGAGTGCCAAAAGATATTGCTCGAAAGATACAAGCGATGGTCAAAATAAAGAGCAAGCAGTCTGGCTGTATTGTCTGATCGACTGCCACCTGTTTAGTGACACGGACACGATAAAAAGTCACGATGGCGGCGGGCGGAAAACAGGCGTTTATTCAGTATAGTGTAGCCTATTTAAAGGAAATAAACACTTAATCTTCGAGCCTGCTCAGTGGGTCTCCTGTTTCTCGGCTCACCTCATTGGCTGCGTTCCTCTTTTATTGCATTGGGTTTTGTTATTCCTCTTCGGTCGCTGTCTTCCTGTCTCGCGCAATGATCACGTCTTTCGTGCTTGGCATCTGATGGGCCGTATTTATTTGGACCACACATATTTGGCTTTGCACTCTGAAACTTGCCGTTAATAGTGATTCTCGAGTTGCCAGTGCGCCCTCTATGTTCTATTGTCCAATCCGGTTTGTCGGTATCTGGATACCTGTGCCACTCGTGATTCGCTGTCCAGGCATCGCTGTGTCTCCCGGTGGGTTCACGCGTTCTCTCGATCGAACTGATCCGCCGACTCCGGTAACCTGCGCTTAGGTGGTAAGGTCGAGCAAACTGGACTGGTTTCCTAAACCCCGTTACACCACCGAGACCAAAACTACCCTCAATGTGGTGGTCACTTGGTGGAAAGCGGCCAACTCGTGCGTTAAAGTCCCGGCAAGAATGGCTATATCAGTCCTTTTGGAGGAAAGCAGAAGTTCAGTTAGTTGCTGGTAACAGCTATCTTTAACTGCATCCGGACTGCAGTCTGTAGGGGCGGAGGCGGAGACGACAAACAACACACGCTTAACGTTTCGACGCCTGCTTACGTTCCATGAACCTCTTAGTCTGACTGCACGTAGTCGGCTGTCGAATGGGATCCAGTCAAGCAGAGGTGATTCAGCCCTGGCATTCAATGCAACCCCAACACCAGCTTGGCCAGTGGCGGCAGCTTCTGGGTCTCCGGAAAGCCGCAAGTAGTAGTTGGCGTCAGGGTTTACCGGAGAGGCGACTCTGATGACGGCGCTAGAGTCTTGTAATCTGGTCTCTGAAAGGCAACATATGTCTACCGAAAGCGGTTCGAGAGTACGGGCCAGACATGCTTGTTGTCCGACCTGCATCAAAGTTCAAACATTAAAGGCTGCGAAGATGAATGGAGAACCAGGTCGAAGAAGAGCTGGAGCTTCGGTGGAGTGAGAGGCGGTTATGATCGCAGGACATTGAAAACCGGGAGTTTGGCTGTTACTCCCATTAGCTGCGAGACGTGGGTCGTTTGTGACGGTGACCGAAGAGGTCATCAGAGCACAAATAGGTGAAGGATGGGAGGTGGGGTGATCTGTGAGTGGAGGTTGAGCAGTTGGGATAGCATAGAAGATAGGCATAGCAGGAGCAGTAGTAAGCGGCGTGGTCCATGACTCGTCAATGGGCGTGATACTACCCGGTTACACTGGCCGAATTAGAGGGTTGTCCAAAGGGGCCCCACCCCGAAAATTTGGTCAAAGATATAACCTACAAGGCAGCGTGGCGATGTGAGGGCGTCACAACCCGTTGGGAGCCGGTGACCAAATATACGATACAAAAACCTTTCGGTCCGTGGTAGACCAGGGGCCCAACGCACCCTTAAATTACAATGTCTCTCAGGGATGGGCAAGGGGCAGTGACTTTATTTAGTGGAGAGTCACATCCGCCACGTCGCAGTGTTGATAAAATACATGTTTCCTTTTATAGGGAGAACGCTTGCCAGGCGAAAACCCACCACGTCCTGGTACACTGCCGCCGAACCAATCGCTGGAACGGAAGAACCCGAACCCCCAGCTGGCACCACGAGGAGGTTGTTCGGCAAGCGAGCAAGGGTGGCAGGTTGTGAACAATACTTTAGTTTGCAGTAATATACAGGCTTGACAATTCGACACCTCATTTCGTACACATGCGTATATATGCCATGCTATTGAAACTGGAATTGGAACGAATTTGAATAACCCATATTTTACGTTGCAGTTGTCGCTTCCACTGCCGACCAGATTGCACCGTTTACTCAAATTAAGCAACTTTGAATACACTCGCTTCGAACTGTTTTATTTATCTGTTGACGTGTGTCAATCGTTTTACTCCTTGGCCTCACGCAATTGCTTGCACACTATCTCCGCTGAAATTATTGCTGTTGCTTTCGTTTTATGGTGTATTTCATTATTGGGGTGCCAGGCACTGTCATTAATGTTAGAGTTTTTTCTCCTGACAGCTTTCCTTGCTTGATACGCAAGTAAACGCGCTGCGTTTTGTTGACGCAGTTCTGATGGACTTTCTAAGCTGGCAATCGAGCAAATCGTATGCGCTTCATTTAAACTACATAAGTGAAAGCGAGTTCCACCTAAACAAGATGACTAACGTTCAGATTCATTCATTCTAAGCTGTGATTAAATGACAAACGTTTCATCACTTCCCTCAATGGGATATTCAATCCACTGCTCCGTAGAGGAAAATCTCACGGAAACTGTCGTCCGGACGTAGCATTTGAAATCGGCCTCGTCGATCTGTGTCCCGTGACCACTCTTTGTCCGATATTTGGCTACCCAGCTACAGGCTTCCTCAGCCGTAGATACACTGGATGGAGATCAATGCTGTGGTTCACTGAATTCTCCGTAAAGAACTATGCCTCGAGGAATTCTCTTCCTTTTCTTGTCCCTCCGTGCGCCAGAATTTCTGTGTTGTCCCAGTTAACGTTGTGTCCTTCCTCATCGAGATGCGCTGAGATCTGTGACAATACATGATATTATCGACATGCACGCTTGTGCTCTAGTATTCTTGTAGATAAGTTTCTCCCCGTTTGACCTACGTACTCTTTCTCACAGTCCACGCAATGTATCCCGTAGACGACATTTTGCCGTTCGTGTGGCTCCAGGTTTTCTTTAGGTCTAAATACGATTCTTTTCAAAGTCGCAGTTGGTATGTGGGCTATCCTCAGGTTGTGCGGCTTGAGGAGTCTGGCTGTCTTTTCTGATGCGTTTTTATGTACAGCAAGGCGATGTGTTTCGCCGTTGTTGGCGCAGGTGCGATGGATGTGTTTCTTCGGTTTAGGTGTCTTCGGATGAAACTGCGTGGGTAGCTGTTGTGAATGAAATACATGAACAGATGTTCCTCTTCCTTTCGTTTTGCCTCCGCAATATTGCAGTATGATTCTATCCTACGAAACAGGGTCCGTATACAGCTTATTTTGTAACACTTATGGTGATTGCTGTTAAAGTTCAGGAGTTATTCGGTGTGTGTTATTTTTCTGTAAACTTATGTTGTTAACTTGCCTTCCACTATTCTGGTAACCAGCATGTCCATAAAGTGTGGTTGGTTTTCCATCTCTTGTTTCCTGGTGAAACGAGTGCCTTCCATTGCGTTGTTCAGTAGGCCTTGTGCGGTCTGTATCTGGCGGCGTTTGAGAATCACAAACGTATCTACAAAGTATTGCACCCACAATTTCGTACTAATGATTGGGAATAGATCCTCTTCCAACCTTTACATTGACGTCCTCCGCAATAAGTCCAGATATACGGGGTCGGATTGGAGCTCCTTGCATTTCCTCGTAAAATACTCCGTTGGACTTGAAGTATATGGTATGACATAAGTCGAGGAGCTTATATATGTTTTCAGTTGTCAAATTCTCAGTGGTTTGTCCTCCACTGTTCAAACGTTCGCTGATATTTTCCTTCGCTACCTGTAAGTTGATAGAGGTCATCGCAACGGTACATCTAACGCAGCCTCCAAATACCCCAATGAAGTGGGCTCTCAATTCACGTCGCCTGTAATCGTAGTATTATTTGTACGACTACTAACGGTTGTGGCAGTCAAACTGTTCTCTGAGCTTGGCAATTTTGTTTAATAATATTAGCAATATTTGATACTGATTAATCAAATGGAATTGACCGAAAATTGCAATCCTCGGATATGGCAATTGAAACTTATCAGTACGGGGACGAATGTAAGAATACTCCGACATTTCGTACCCAAGCGTCCCGCATTCAGTTCAGATATGTTTTACGCTTTCTATCATATCTGTTAATTTCTGTTTACCCATAGAGGTACCCTCTATCCCCTGCTTTTGGGCACTTTGACTAGCTCTGTTCATCATTCCCAGTGAGCCCTGACATTTATTTGCTTACAAACACAAGAGCGCGAATTGCGATCTATTAGCGGACACTCCTGGGCACTCTGTGATTCCCCGGCTAGTTTGATGTTGTTAGCGCCCATCACGCCCGTGCAATTTAGTTTGTGTACCTAATTGTTGATTATATCCACAGCTGTCAATTCTTTTCACTTAGTGTAGCAAATTTATCGCTTTGCTACTTGTTTCTCCTTTTCAGCGTAAGTGGGCGAACATTTCCCTTGATGAGGAGCTGGATGTGCGTCCCTACTCGTTTAATCTGGCTCGCGAATGTTTGGGCTCCGCGGTACTCGCCGTGGATTTCAACAACAAAAAAACGTGCGTTTTACTGTTCTGTCCCCTACATTTCATTCATAGCACATCAGGCACATTCCACTGTTCCTCCACTTGGGTTACAGATAAAGGAAGCTAAACCAGACATTAATGAGCCCAAACCCAATGAAGAGCTGTCGTTTCGTAGGTACTGGAAAGACCTCATTTCAAGTGCACCGCCCATTTCGTTTCATCAAGCCTGATCTGTGACCACATGCACGGTTGATGTGGTTTATCTGCTTTTTAGCAAAAGGTGGCACCATATCTTTGCGTGCATCTCATTCCATGATTAGTAGTCTGAAACTAGTTGCCATACTCATTGTCACTTTTTCGCTGTCTTCAAAGTATGTCAAACTTTTCAGCAATCTTTTGTCTAATTGTAGGTACACAGACTTTTCAGTCTTATATTTTTATTGTGCACCGGTGTAAAGCATCTCCTCTGTGGCACACTGTGTGAATTCCATACCACTGCTGATCCCCTGTTTTGATGGTTTTCTAGGTTCATTCTTCGATACTTACAAGTTGTAGTTGGGGTAGTTGAATGGTGCAAGTGGAACTCCATCGCATCTGTCAACTTAGTCACGTTGGTCATTACCATTCCCCGTATCTCTGTGATCTTCACCACGGACTGGTAGTGGTCGAGTTGCCACAAATGGAATACGCATTGCTGACGATTCTCGAAACGATGGAAAACTTGTACAGTACTTTTCCCGGCATGTGTTAGCGTCCTGACTGAGTCTATACGTGAGGAACTTCTGCTTATACCATCTTCACACAATCTTATGCGACAACATCCACTGCAGCTACACTTTCCAATTCTCTTGTAACGGCTGTTTCTTTACACATTCCATATCGCTTTTACTAAATTCAGCTTACTTCTTCTATGTTGCTTAATACAATTTCTCATTTCTTCCCATGTCACTGCAGTCCCACAGGAGAGCCGCTAGATTCAGAGCATATGGCTCGCGAATTCAGCATGCAGTTCGCAGACACTCCGCTTACTGTCGGCCAGCTCATTTTATTTCGATTCAACAAAAAGTTGCTTCTTGTTGAAGTGAAAAAATTAGCTAGTGAGTTCGCTCACTCTGTCGCTTTTATCTTCGTTTAAAGCTATCCAGTTCGCTTTACACTAATTGTTTTTTCTCTCTCAACGTGAGTACATCAACCATCGGATGGTGCGTTCGTGGTTTGGGCTATGTTTCACTTGCTCCTTCTCATCTTTTAACTTCGCATGACAATGATGGATATTTACTGTCGGTGGCTTTGCGGATGTGTAACGCCATTATTACATTAAAGTCATGCGTGCATAAGGCAGGAAGTAATGCCTTCACTTGTTACTTAGTGTATCTTTCGATTACCCAATGATTTTTTTCACCATGTTTGTGTTGTAATATTAGCTCTGCTTAGACATTCACCTTAACTCTTCAGGTAGACTTCACTTGTTGGATGTTGTCAGGGTTTGCTCTGAGTAGCTGACGGCTACCACTTACTTCAGCGTCTCACACGATGCTCGATCCACTGAATTGTTTAATAGTAGGTGTATAACTTTCGAAACTCTTGACCTTTGTTTGCTTGCCTTCATATTTTTACCACACTTTGTCTTCTCTTGTACGCTACGTTTATCGGTTTTTTGATTATTTTAACCTTCGTTCCGTTTCAGCTATGTCTATGGATGGAGGTGATGGGTCAAATAGCAAAGTGAGCCCGTTACTACTCGTCATTTGTTTTTCTCATTTCATATATATATGCTGAATGTTGTGGGGTGGGGGTTTTTGACGACGCTCCATCGAAAGGCAATCTAACCCTGTTGAACTTAAGCTTATTGGGCAACCTCTGCATCCAGTAGACGCTTACTCAACTCGCATGACAGCGTACTTTGATAGGCATTCAGAACAGCTTTTTTCGCCAGTTGGCTAGTGTCAACGCGTTTAGAACGTCGTCTTGGGCGTCCGCCAAAACGCATCCGCAGGTCAGCACATACAAGTGCATGGTCGGTGTCCACACCGCTGCTCCATTTCTGGACGCAGCTTCTCCATGGGTAACTTATTGCAATGTGATCAATTTGCGTCCATAGCTGGTTCGAGGCTGGTTGGCGCCAAGTCACCCTCGGGCGGGTGCTGTGTCGGAAATTAGTACTCGCAAGAAATAATCGAGCATCTTCACACAAATGAAGTAACCGCTCACCATTATCATTACGGGAGCCTACACCATGTTGGCCGCCCAGATGCAGTTCATCAGTGGATAATTTGCCAACTTGAGCGTTCAGATCCCCAGCCAGCACAACAGTGTCCGAGCTTCTTCTGTGGCGAAGGAGCTCGTTTAATTGGCGATAGAAGTCGTCTTTTACCGAATCATCGCTAGAGTTTGTGGGTGCATAGGCAGCGATGACGAATAGACACCTATTAGTCCCGCGCGACTTCGAAATTTTGAACGAGCCAGCCATTCGGACCGCACAATTCCTGCTACTGATTGGGATCCAATCAACCAAAGCAGCTTCAGCCCCGGAGACTCAGGGCAATGCCAACACCAGCTTGGCCGGTGCTCGAAGCTGCATCATCACCGGATAGGCGCAATGGGAAAATACTGCTGGTGTCACCTGAAGGAGATCACAAAGTGAGCACAGAGCTCGACTGTTGCAGGCGAGTCTCCTATAAGCAACAGATATCTATCGAAACGGTCTCTGGTGTTCGGGCAAGTGTTGCCTGTTGATCGATTTGTAGCAATGTGCGTACATTGAGGCATGCCAATCTGAAGGATGATCGAGGGATCCAAATGGAAATCAGTGTACTGGGCTTGACCGCTTGGTTAGACCTGGGCTTGTTGACAGGACAGGAATGACGCTCCGCGTTCACATGTGAGTTGCAACTAGACGGTAATAGCTTAGCAAAGCAAGGAGGGGGAGGGCCAAGAATTGGGGGTTGAAAACATGAGGGCTAAAAGGGAACGGGATGGTAAGCGCGAAAAGCGTAAGAGGGGAAATAAGAACATGGGAAGACTTGAGCAGTAGCATCTAAACCCCTATCCATCCTGCTCGATGCAGCAGATAGGGCACCGTTGGTTATTCTCTGCGGTGGCCAGAGCATCAAGAAACTGTTTGTAGAGAAATTCAGGTGAACTTCCCTACCTTGCAAACAAGTGAATATTCAGTCAGATAGCTTGTCCCCACTCCTTCCTTTCTTCGCAGTGATGGGACCGGAATCATCCGCTCGTGCGTCGAGTGCTGGCACCATCTGTTGTTGGCATGTAGTGGTCACTTGTCTTCGGCACACGATGCAGATTTTGATGATTCGTTTCGCTGTTTTAGCACCATCCACTAGCCAACACATGGTGCAGAAGACGCATAGCAATTAATGTGTTCCACCGTGCCCTTCTGAAATGTGATAGTGCTGTATCAGCGCATCGACGACCGAGTGGCTGCTGGGTAGACTGGCAGAGTGCTTCACGCCCTCATAGTCGATGTAATTTAAACGCCCTCCCATGCAAATAATACCTTCGCGCAACGCTGTCAATAAGCAACTCAGCATGTCTCTCTTCAACACTTGGTAGGAAACAAGAGCAGTATGCACGGTAGATTCATTATGGCTTTTCATTTCGTTGGCATATACCACGCGCCGCACCATATGGGGCACGTCTTCTCTAGCACATTCTATTTCGGCCACTACCGATGCATCCTCTAGTGAAAGAGAATAATCAGAAGTTTCCACACCTGAAGACTCCGCGTTGTACAACCTGTGAGTATGACTAACAAGTGGGCTGTTTTCTGAGGACATACAATTGACGGAGGCAGTTTTATGTCCAGCAGATCTCAATGGCCCAATCAAAACCCATCTAAGCAAAGTTGTTTCCGACCGCCCAGGCGTTGGTCTAAAACTCAGTGGACTTCGGGCACATCACTACCGATTAATAATAAGATTCGCTTGTCCCCCCATTTCGTCCACGCTAAGTCCAGCCAGATAAGACCACTTACACGCTTTCGTTTGCATTCCATGGGCGGAGGTCCGAATCAGTAAGCCAGGTACCGCGGACGCACTTTCCACCTCGACTTCCTCTAGTCCGTTTAGCGAACGAACGCATAATTTCACTACTGTGCCATCAAAGGTACGATTGTTGTTGATTGTACTAATCGCCATTGATGATGGTTCGGGCTCCAGTTCTAGGCTATTGACAAGGTCCGGGCTGATCGGAGTTGTGTCTGATTCGTTAGCACGAAGAGCGTATGTATTCATTGATCCAAATGGCCCAACAACGATGACTGGAAGAACACCCAGAGCTACACAAGGAGATTTCGCACTTGTGGCCCCGCAGCGTGCCTGTCCTGCTACTGATGTGCAACCTGGAGCGAGGGAGCCGAAATCGTGAAGCAGGCGGTAATGACGAGAGTTGCAATTGGAAATGTCACAAGTTTTTAGTTACTGCAATTTTTGGCGAGGTGACCGGACTTTAGACAACTAAAAACTAACCATTTTGCTTTCAGTATTTCCCATTGCTGCCGCAAGCCCAGCACTCGGAAATTAACACAGTCCGTGACATAGTGTCTACCTGAACAGACTGGGCGCAAGGGGGTTCTAGATGTCATGGAAGTTTTCTTGCCCAGCGGAAAGAGCACCTACCACTGTATTTTCCCTTCTGGAAAAACGTCGTTGGTACTACTTCGGAGGTGCGGGGTGCTTTGCCAGCTAATTATCCAAATCAACTGCGGGCTATGCGAGCACAAGATGACACGAATTTTATCACATCCAAAAACTTGGCTCGTGACTTCCAAGGGAAATTGGTCCACAAACTCGGCCCACCTATGCTGCAGAGTTTTCGGTAAGGCACGCGTAGTCAACGAGTTCGCATCAGCCTCATAGTTCATCTGCTTCAGAGTGATGTGGCAATTCTCCATCTTAATTGCCAGTTCCGGCAGCGCATCGGCATTGTTGGGAATTGCCTTCGCGCCTTGAAGTAGGCTTTCTATTGATGCCCTCGCGATGTGGTAGGCTCGTCCAAATAAGTTCTCCAAGATTTTCCGTGCTTTAGCATAATTCTGGCATAGTGGTAACATAGTTGCCAATGGTCATTTTGGCTCGCCCCTTACAGTAACGTATTAGACAGTTACCGTCTTTCCTCGTCTGTCACTTTGCTCCCTACATAACACTAACACTGCTTCACGAATCTCCAGTAATCTACCGGGTGTCCGTCAAAACCAATTAGCTCAATTCTGGACATTCTGGTTTCTGCAATCAGCGGACGTAGAACTGACGCCACAGCAATACACCTCCTAATTACGGTTCATGGGTGGCTGATTCCTGAAATTCGTGGAACAATTGGTGACCAACTCGCTGCTTCTTTTCGGCGGATCAGCAGGAAGTTCAGGCAATTTGATATCTCCTTGCTCCTCTTCGAGCGATGCGCTGCATCCCGCGAATTCCGCCTCCTCTCTGGCTTTTAACAGCCTTCGCTGTCCGTTAGGATCCAGTTCCCTAGCTTTGAGTTCTAATTCCTTCCTACGTGGCTTTTCCCTTAATTCAGCAGGCAGAATTTGTGAGTGCGAACTGCTGGCTGAAGACTTACAAACTAACACGAGAGCCAGAGTGTGAAACAACGTCGAAAGGGACTTGCCTTGAATTGTCCGACTCCTTGGCGAAGGTAGATCCTCGCTTAACGAGCGTTGCGTTAAAGACAGAAACTCCAAATTGAGCTCTGTAACGACTAATGGCTGTCGTTGAGATAACGCATACAAAACTATCCCAAATTTATCAAGAATTAAGAACGAATCCAAGATCTACGGTGCTATTTGCAATGTATTAAGTAAATATACAAACAAGCAGCTGTTCGCGTTCAGAGGACGTCAACTCCTATCGCTGGGGTAGCTCGCTGTTATAACTGTAACCGCAATCGACCGGTTGATTCACGCCTGTTGTTACATCTGCGTCCTTACGCTTACTCTGCTTGACGCCTTGGCAAACCCGACAGGAAGGAAGACAGAGAACTCAGCCAACCAGGATGTTGTATTAGGACCGAGAATGCTCATATTTATATGTCGGTCTCACCTATCCTCTAAACATCGCCTGGCGGATCTGGCTGTACGCCCACGCTCCACACTTGATTGTCCGCTCCGTCTGGCCAGTTCAGCGTCTTACTCGGGCACGCCAGTCTTCATCCGCCTACCCGGGACATGGCGACGTACGTTATGTCTGACGCGCGCTTTCATCAGCTTTCGGCTTTGCCCTGGCAACATGCACGGTCTGTGCTAAGCACGCTTTGTGGCGAACACGCGCGCGTTGGCAATCAGCTTTCTCGCCCAGCTGTCACGCGCAAACAGATAAATTACAAGGAATCATCACGCCTCGAGCCGACAATCGTGCAAGTGAAACACGTGCAACTGTTAATGGATCACCGAACACATACTCGTTCTTGCTTTGGGATATCCAAATTCCGGCCTGCGGGCCAAATGCGGCCCACGTTAACATTTCAACTGGCGCGCGGTCTTATTATGAAATAATAAATTCTGTCTTGGATTTTTTCGTACATGTGCACTATTTGTTATCATCTTCATGTCAGACTGCATATGACCTGGCATATTATTGCCGCGCAAGATGTGGTCCTCCTTGCAAAACCTTTGGACACCCCTGGCATACACTAATGTAAGAATTGGTCTCATGCTTAAGCACCAATGCTTGGTGCATATTATGGTCAAGGTCATTGAGTGAACACTGAGTCCGGAGCAATAGCACGGGGACACGATAAACAAACGTGCATACATGCATGCACACAGTGAAGGAGAGGGAGCGCATCATTGCCAAAGTCTTGGTGGCCACAAAGCGAGAATGGCTCTTGTAGGGCTGTGTTTCGCTGATGGTGAACACATACAGACAGGTAAACACTTATCGACGATATGTGTAGCCGTAGATTGGACGGCGATTGTGGGTTGGGAGAATTTCCGGGGTGAATCCCAATTTCTTCTGCCGTTACCTTTTGGTAAACTCTCATTGCACCTTCAATGCCAGATAACCATGCTGCTACTTGGGTACCAACAGGGTTATTGGAAGGTAATCGCTGTAACAGTCAACAAGCCCCGTTTTCATATGCATTCTCCGCACACCACTCCATTCTATAACCGTTTCCGCATAGCCGTTGTTTCAGTTTTCTCGTTATAGTGCTAACTCGGTGTTCAATGAAGTAGCAGTGAAAACGGCGAATTTGATTGGTTTACTGGCTTCTTGTCACCGTTATTTTCGCACGCGACTGAGCCGAATCAATGGCTATTATGGGAATGCACTCATCGTCATTACTCTGATTTTTCCATTTGGGGTCCATTTTTCTTCGTATGGTGGGTGGCGTTTCACCGCATTGACGATGACACTTCGCTTGCTGACGAGACGTACACGACTATTTACTAAAGCTTGGCGAACCAATATACAGCTTAACAACCAATCCGGTCTACCAGTGTTCCAAATTATTTCGACCAGTAACTACTGAGTATCGGCGTTATCTTCGTACACCTGTGATCAATACAAGCTTTACCATCGTGTACGATTGTCTCAACTCTAGCCGACTCGACCTAAGTGATAGGGGTGATTTTCCCCTTCTACTTCTGTCCGTATAGTCCAGTTGCTAATATTTTAAAAACCTCATCGCAATCTCTTAAACATGCATGCGCCCCACATGCCTAATTGTCTTTGAAATGCAGTCATCTCCCTTATCACGTCTGTTACGAGACATCTTACTTCGAACTTTGATGTTACTGCCGCACTATGATCTAATGTCAACGTCAGTTCTTCATCGACGTGTATGCACCGAACAGAAGCCATTTAGCCATTACCGCCTTTGCATTTGATCACGCAGATTGGCATGCTCACAGGAAACTCCATCTTGACATGGGAGAGGCAACCTGATTCGAAACTACTTTTGTTGGGCAAAGCGATCGCAACTGGTGGGTCCTCAGCGGGTGCATACCAAAGTATCATCAGTCCGAACTGGGATTTCACCCAGATGGGGATCGGCGGTCTGGACAAGGAGTTTGCGTCAATTTTCCGCCGCACTTTTGCCTCACGCATGTTTCCTCCCGCTATTGGAAAACAGCTTGGTGCGTCACACTGCAGCGCCGATGAGCTTTTGTTTTTCATTTCGATAAATTGTCACTATCCACTGTTTACTCATCGTTCTTAGGTCTCAAACACGTGCGCGGCATGTTGCTGTATGGACCTCCCGGCACAGGGAAGACTCTTATGGCTAGACAAATTGGTAAAATGCTAAATGCTCGTGAACCTAAGATTGTGAACGGACCAAGCATTTTGGACAAGTATGTGGGCGAATCAGAAGCCAACATTCGCAAATTGTTTGCAGACGCAGAAGAGGAGGAGAAGCGTATGGGACCTCATTCCGCTTTACACATAATCGTGTTTGATGAAATCGATGCGATTTGCAAAACCCGAGGATCCACAGTGAGTCAATCTGTCTATGACCAACAGCTCTGAATGAATCCTACTTTCGAGCTCGTCACCATTGTAATGATAGCGCTTTATCCTTTTCCTATCTCCTCACCAAAGCTGCAATTAGAGATTAAGAACGATTCTAGCTGGCGGCGCTCGGTTTTGTACATTTCCTTACACACAACAATCAGTTAAGCTCAATTTTTGGCGTAATCCGAGCAACAACAGGCTACACAGTTTCACAGTAAAGTAAAGTGTAATCTCGCGAGATTACACTCCACATCGCAGCGCACTGATGATGCCACCTTGCAAGGCGATGAAGTGTTTGTAAACAAATTTCCCAGCTCGACGAAGGAATGAGCGACTGAATTATCAACCCGAGCTACCAGTTTGCCGAAACATTTTAAAGGTAGATAGGTACTTCACAGTGATCATATGAATATATTCAACAGAAGTAATGGTATGTATGGTCCATCATTTTAATGCCTGTTGAAGAGATACCGTCGGAATCCAACCCGAGAGGTTTGCAATTTTTCATTAGTTGCTGAATATTGTCGAGAGTGAGCTTGACTAGGTTGCTAAATGCATGTCCCTTTCCCATGATACACATCAATGCGCCCACCCTTTTATTTTATGATGGTATTTTACAAACACGCATTGTCGAATAGACCGACTGTACTGCAGCAATTCGCCCGCATGTGGACTCTGTTTGCGTTCCATCCATCCATTCATTCCTTTGAACGGCTTGTTCTTCTTTTTTCACTGTTGTCAAACTCGCATCTCCTTTCTTCGCTTGTGTGTTCCCCCTTTTAGGCCGGTGGTGCCGGTGTGCATGACACGGTTGTGAATCAGTTGCTAACGAAGATGGATGGTGTGGAACAACTGAATAATGTGCTTGTGATCGGAATGACTAACCGCAGGGACATGATTGATGAGGCTCTGCTCCGTCCTGGCCGTTTTGAAGTAAGCATTTTGTTCAGGTTGCTTGAGGCCTAGTATGTATGCTTTGAGTTGGATCACTCGATGTGCGTCGAGGTCACGTGAGGACGTGACCTCACTACGATCGTTATCTGGTTTGAAGCGGGCGTGCCCGAAGTGCGCCTGTCATTCGAACATATGGCGAAACACAGTCTGTTGTTTTTCCATGTTGTTGTTTATTTCCCATCCATTTTGACTGCTCCTAAATCTGTCCACCCGTCTCTTAGGCTTCGGCTGCAAGCACATTGACTCATGTGTCTTGGGGGTAGCAATCACTCGGTGCCAATCAGAAAACGTAACTTGCCTCAATCATCTCTGTGAACAGTATCTTGTGTGCACATAGAGGTTTACAGAATATCTAACTATCGACTGGTGGTTCATGCGTGTGACGTACTCATTTGTCTCAGGATCACATCACACTGGCTGTCTCAACCTGAATGATTAGGCAATGATCTATCTTGGTTATATACTTAATCGTTATCCGTGTACCTTTAAACCCATGAGTATTTCTCTGATCAAGAGTTGTCTGTCACATCATGAGAGAACTGAGAACTGGTGCGAAGCAGCGAGTAGGGGTTGCTCTGTGTAGCTGCATCATTCATCGTTTTCGGACATGAACTTTTTATTTATCGTTTCGCTCTTTGTACTTTGCCTCTGCAAATTGTTTGTCCAGTAGCATCTTGAATTTAGCCACTCTGTTCGCTTCTACTATATGCTGAGGCAGGTCGTTCCAGACATTCACCACTCTTCGTTCGAAACAGAGTTGAGAGTAGCTTGCTCCATTCCCACAGCATCATTGGCGAAATCACTGCCGCATTGATTGTTTTTACCTTCTTCCCATAAATACATGAGATTTGAGCAACTAATCTGGCTTCTGCGTCAAGTCAAGAATGCTCTTTAGCAGCTCAGGAAGAATAAGTTTTCGACTGCGGCCAAAATAACAGCGACGAAGGATCCCACTTTTTGATTACTTTGTTCACGTATTGCCTCATCTTAAACTCCCACTGACTAACAAGTAAAAGAGCTATATTTCACGGACGACGTACGTTCGTGTGGATTTCCACACTGCATTTCGTTACTTTGGAGTCCATCATCCGTGTATACCATATATGCATCAATTTCACATTTTCTCTTTACGTTGGTTAACAGGTGCAAATGGAAATCTCGCTGCCAGATGAAGAAGGACGTCTTCAGATCCTCGCTATTCATACAGCCAAAATGCGACAGGCTGGTAAAATTGCTAAGGATGTCAGCCTCGAGGAATTGGCTTCCAAAACAAAGAATTTTAGCGGAGCAGAGATCGAAGGTCTATGTCGTGCAGCCGCCTTCACAGCAATGTACCAACTGATCAGCGTACGTGTTTTTTTCACCAGTTGTGTAGTTGCTTCACAGTTCTCTCTTCGTCATATAAAGCACCAATGCGTTTCGATGGCTTGCATGCTTCAGTAGTCCGTTCGGTTACTTAGTGCATTACGCCGCATCATGTTAGCACAGTCCACATTTCTACTCGCTTAAGAGTCAACTTCTCCCCCATGAAACTTACTTTGTCCATTCTCGCTCCATTTAGTCAGATTATTCCGTTGAATGGACAACTACTTCATGGGAGGTGTAAAATTTAGTTATGCCTAATCATGACGATCACACATGTTAAGGGTAGGCCATGGATTGACGGCATCCGTGTCCGGATTTGCCTGTCACAGCGGCCTCCATGGTGACACTCACAGGACGTCTGCGCCTGCAGAGGGCCCATGGGCGGCTTGTGTCGCACCACCCATAGCCCCATTCACACACCATATCCGGTGTAAACCCGAAGGAATAAGACTGGGAGGAATGTGGATGGGTGCCACGCTTCATCAACGGCTTCAACATACACAACACCTGCATTCACGCCGAATTGGAGAACCATAAGTACCAGACGTACACAAGGTGGTGGTTAGGCCGTAGTTCGTTCCACACTGGATGGAACCACTCTTTGAGCCTAGCACGGCCACGAGGACCGTGCACTCCCAGCAACGATTAACAGTCTCCTGAACCTATTAATGGAGGTGGAGGATCATAGGCAGGTAAGCACCTTGTCAACATTCACATCAAGCTCGGCCGCAGCAGGTTATCTGGCAACCAGCATAAATTTTGACGGAAAATAAACATGCCAAGTTGGCGCGGAATATGAAGTAGAATAACAGAACTGAGGTTATCAATGTGGAACGCTTTCTATCCAAATTAGGATGATTTAGTTTAAGTATAACTCGGTGTAGCTCAAGTGTGGTGAACAAGCATTATATATATATATATATATATATATATATATATATTTCAACGCTTTCTCAATTACAAATTAGCAGAGAACCACAACACGTAAGTGAGCAAAATGACAGATTGAATGGGAAAACAAGTTTGAGGAGAAGGGTTTCACAGCAAGTGCGACATTGCTTACGCTTCTTTGTCATATCCAGTGACGTCTGCAACCAGGTGTGCTCGCAATCCTTTGCTTCCAAATCTGAAAGTCAGGAATGCCAAGCAACAGTCAACTTCGACATTTGTGCTTTAACGCATTAGATTCAGATTTTCCACTTGCCTGCTTGTCGCTTCCAGCCCACGCTTATGCTTCCAACCTGGTGCTTCTACATCGTGGTGGCCGCTGGGTATGCATGAGAAGCACGTATCCAAGCCAGTGAAACCTCTGCAGTGAAATGATACTGTCAATCGGTCGGCAGTTCTTCCGATTTGAAGCCCCACGACCGACCTCTTTATAACTTATGTGGTGCTGCCATCAAACACTGGCAGTGTTTCGCAAGCAGGCGTGATCGAAAACCTATAGCCGTTGACCATCACTTTTGCGAACTGGCCAAGTCTCGTAGCCATACAGCAGAACCGCCTGTATTGCCGCATTGTAGACTCGTCCCTTCAGATTGAGGTGAGGTCACGACGAAGCCTCAGATGACCGAGGTTGGCGCAAGGTACTCTAACCTTAGGAGAATGCAACTAGACGTCATCCGTCAAACCGCCAATACTAAGACAAATCTCGAGTTAAATGATATTGTATACTACTTCCGTCCGATGCCTCGAAAGAGTGGAGGGAGCAGAACTCAATCCAACTAGGGAGGCGGCAATCTCTAACCTAAGCGGCACATGTTTGGTGGCCTTTGAGGACTCACAATTCGCAGCGATGTAATCGCTCACTCGAAGTCCCGAAAGCGGGCATTCGGGCGCAGTTCGACGCCGTAGGACTCAGAGATTTCCAGCGCAATCTCCAAGATCATCATCAGCATCACTATACACGTTAGCTGCAGGTGAAAAACACCACAGCTATTGTGCCGCAATACAAAAGACATGAAGAAAAACAACAGAGGCACGCCGACTGAGTCCTCCATGAGCTTGCCCATGACGAAGTTGAACAATAAAGGAGAAGCTGGGCAACCCTAACACTACAAGTGATACTGAAGAGTGCCGGAATGTCTCCGTATACTCGCACGCTGCCCAAAGTTTGACGGTGAATGGCACGGCGAATGTTGGTATACTTCTCAGGTACTCACTTCTTCAGTAAGCAGGCTCAAACTGCCAATCTCTTGACAGAGTCAAACGCGCCTTGAATATCCTAGAATTCAACTATGGTTAGTCGACTGAACGTATGGCAGTCTTTGAGTAGCTGGCGAATCCTAAAGCTGTGATCCACACAGTTGCGACCAGGGCGCAACTCAGCTTGCTCTTCACGCAAGTGCTGTTCCCGTACGTCATTGAGCTTCCGCAAGAGTAGGGTAGCGAGCGGTTTGGATGCGACACAACAAACAACAACAGCAACAACAACAACAGTACATCAGTCGTTTGAACTGATGCTTCGTTGTCACACAACCACGATGCCCTTTGGAATAAAAGATAATAAGTGGGAGAGAAGGGGGACTTACCTGAAAACCTTAATGCCCTAAGCAAACATTCGTGGCCAAGGCGCCTACATCTTGTGTAGACAACATACCGTCACAGACAGCTGGCTATCGTGCAAAGAACATTCGGCATCGGCGAGACAGGTTCCTTGCAGCTTTCACTGCCACGCGTCATAATCGGTCATTACCCCGCAGATAACTCAGCACCAAACACACTTTAAACAGGCAATCCGATTAGGAGACGGCAGCAGACGCGCCACTGGTGTCAGTTGCGAGCCATGTCCTGTAAAGTCCAGAGCCAAGCATAAGGCGAGTCTCGTGGACTCCAGCCCGGAAGGCTAGACGGACCAACGGCACCCAGTTTGGTCGCCAGTGACTTCATTTCCCGCTGCCAAGTCAACTTCTGTCCACCGCGAGACTTGCGCTACCCTACATCTGGAAGACTAAACAAGGCCCTCCTGGGTAAGCGTTGACCAGGCATACGTAGCACGTGCCCTAGCCAACGCAACTTATTCAGTTGTAGTTCTAGGGAGCTATCATGATTATCACCACCTAGTACTCGCCTACGAACATAACCGTTGCGGGCACGCTGGTGCCATCCGACACCAGCAATGCTTAGTTGACAACGATGATCAAAGACTTGAAATCGCCTCAAATCTTCAGACCGAAGGGGCCAAGTCTCACTACCATGGAGCAGAACGACCCTCACTGTGGCCTTGTATACACGGCCTTTCAGACGGAGAGGAATTCCCTTCTGTCGCCAAAGATGCCGCAGGTTCAGGAAGGTAGCTCTGGCTTTTGCAATGCGTGAGCTGACGTCAGTTTCTATGCACCCATCGTTGCTGTTGCAGCTGCCAAGATAAGTGAATTGATCAACCACCTCGAGTTCCACGTTAGCAAGGGTCAAAGAGTTACAAAGTGACTGGTGGTCCTGCAGCAACTCTTTACACTTTGACGATGCGAAGTGCATACCAAATAATGGAACCACTCTAGACAGGCTATTCAGGGTTGATTGTGCCTCCGCAGCATCGTCGAAAAGCAGGACGATATCGTCCCCATAATCAAGATCAACTATCTTTTACCCGGTATCACTTCAACGCCTACATTGTGAGATTTCGCAAGGGAACACTCCATGATAGAATCCACGATGAAATTGAACAAAGATGGGGAAATCGGACAACCCTGACGAACGCCACTTGTGGTCGGAAAGCTATCCGATAGGCCACCGTAGACCCTGACACGGCCTGTAGTGTTCGAGTATAGAGCACGAAGGATGTTCACATATTTCGTGGGAACACCTTTCCGCGCAGGCATTTCGAACAGAATGCATCGATCGAGTGAATCGAGCCCACTCTTGAAGTCGAGGAACACAGCTATTGTCCGTCTGCGATATGAGGGCGCTGCTTTAGCACCTGCCGCAAAGTGAATATATGGTCTATACAGCCACGTCCTGGGCGGAAACCGGCCTGCTCTTCCCTAATCCGAGATTCCCGTTCCTCAGTGAGGCGACGAACGAGAATGAAGGCCAGTAATTTTGTCACAACTGGCGTTAGGCTAATACCCCTGTGGTTAGCACAGTCTATGTGACTGCCCTTCTTGTATATTGCCACTATAATTGATTCGTTCCAATCAGCCGGGACACTCTCTTCCTTCCAGATACTTTCGAATAGGGAGGCCAGTGCTTTGCAGAGGACCTCATCTCCATCCTTAAATAGTGCAGGTGGAGGGAATCCGGGTCAGCGACACATAAACCATTGAGAGCTGTGATCGCATTTCGGACATCGGCCTTGTGTATCAGTGCACCCGTGCGGTCTCTGATTGTCTCACTGACGCCTGGTTTTCTGAGACTAATGGTTCGGATCAGCTAGAAAAGCTTGCGGTAATTGCCTACTGCTCCTGCCTCCTCCATTTCTTGAGCTCGAGTGATCCGCCAGTCTTTATTGTCAGCAGGTAGGCTCCGCTTTATTTCTCGCCTAATAGCTCGTCTGGTCACATTGTGCTCAGAACCAGCCGAGAGGTGCCTTCTAGATTCCAACAGGTTCACCGACCTCTCGGATATCCAGTGACTATTGCGGTGACGATGGATAGTGCCAAAAGAAGATGCACCTGCGTCGTGCATGGCGGCCGAGATCCTATTTCACTGAAGCTCAGTGTCGTGAGAACAAGACAGAAAGTTCTGTATGCAGTGCGTCTTGATAGGCTTGTCTGACCGAAGACCGCTAAAGTTCATGGAGGAACGACAGCGTAGCAAGGCATGATCAGAGTCAACGCAGGTATTCCATTGAGAGTGGCAATCCAGGATGGAACCACGCCACCTGTAACCTATGGCTCTGTGGTCAGTTTGGGTCCATCGATGGCCAACTACAGGGAGACGCCAAGTGGCACTTCGGCGCCCATTGTGTCTAAAAGCAGTGCTAGTAAGAAACAACTGGTGCTCCCCACACAATTGCAGCAGACGCTCGCCATTGTCAGTCCGTTCGAAGTTAAGCCCATAATTACCACCCAGCTAAGCTTCTGAAGAGCTCAGACGCCCTACTTGTGCGTTCATATCCCCAGCAAGTACTATAATATCTGAACTAGTAGCACTGCGTAGTAGCGCGTTCAGTTCGTGATAGAATGTGTCCTTGACAGCATTAGAACTGCAGTTGGTGGGAGCATAAGCGGAATCCACAAACAAACAACGTTTTGTACTACTTCGTGAATGAACCTAGGCTGATGTCGTCAAACCTGCCGCATATAAACGGCTATTCACCAGGATCCCATCGACCAACGATGGCTCAGTTTTGGAGCTTAAAATGATACCTACACCAGCTTGACCTGTGAGTATTGCATCGGCGTCTCCGGATGCGTGCAAGCGATAACGAGAGGATAAGCCGGGTGCAGTTAATTCAACGATCCCATAAGAGTCATTGATCCTAGTTTCGGGCACACAACACACATCAATACCCAGTGTGTCCAAGGTGCGTGCGAGTGCAGCCTGTTGACCTGTTTGTCTTAGAGTGCGAACGTTGAACGTCGCCATGGAAACGGGACAACGTGGCCTTATAAAGGACTGTTGCCGATGAACATCCGGTGCGTATCTTGTGAAGGTGGCTGCAGATGGTTCTACTTCAGTGGCACTTCGGTTGCTGTCAATTAAGGTGGGAACTGTAGAAGGAAGGTTAATAATGGGGGTCGGGATAGGAGTAAGAGAAACAAGGAGGAAGAGAAAGAAGGGAGGTGCCAGCAGTAGCATGTTTTCGTTTATCCGCCTAGCTGTATGCAGCAGATAAGGCGACTCTTGATAATCTGCGCGACGGCCGATGCAGGATGAAGTTTATGTTTGAAGAAGATGTCATGGTTGTATGTGGGCTGGGATACTGCCAGGGCGCCCAGACCTAGACAGGATGATGATTAGGGTCCTCATCCAAAGCCTTTGGCTCAAAAGCCTGTCCACAGGGCAGCGAGGAGGTGACAATGATTTAGTTTTAAAGAAATGGACGCCATCCCATTTCAAACCCCCAACCTAGAGGACCAGGCGACTGAGTTTGTCTGACCTTTCACTATTGACCAACCTGGTAGAAGTATCTCTCAAGATGCCCGCAGGCACCACTCATTATAGCTCAGTGGGTCAAGGAAGTACGCAAACCGTCGCACCACGTTAAGGTCCAGTCTCGTTGCTACGGTGGATGCGACACGATGTGACTGATTCCACGGTAATTGGAGCAAACAGTTCGATTTCCTGTTTTGTCGGCAGGTACGGCATCCGCTAATTTTCAGTCGGATGATCTGATTTCGGTAGTCCAAGCCTGATGAAAGAGGGACGTCAGTTCACTGGTGAAATCAGGAGGAAGTTCTTCTTGGCCTGGTGACTTGTTTCGCTTTAACAGGCGAAGTTAATGAGAAACCTCAGCCTCATTCGGCGGAGAAAGATCTACGCACCAGGGAGCACTGAATCGCGGAAGCTAGACTCGGTTTTGCTGGTGGTCAGTTAAACTGATATTTAAAATGCCTATTCCAGCGTAGCAGACGACGGTGAATTAGTTCGCCGTCATTTTCACGCACAACCTTACTCACTGCTGGCCTTCTACCTCCCTTGAACCGAATCATTTGGAAGAGTTTGCGGGCGTTTCCCGAGGAGGCAGCCCGCTCTGTCTCAACGACGCGTTGTGTCCACCAGACCTCGCGATCTTTCCTGAGAAGCTGTTTGAGTTCAACACCTGTGGTTATGCGCAGTGCATTGTATTCAACTGCAGCGGACATTGCTCGACGGGTTTCCAGTTAATCGGAGGGACTGTGCGGAGATCCAATGACTAGCATCCCGTCTAGTGAAGCCATCGGCCAGGGTAACGGACTTTCGTAAGGTGCACTGGATCTGTACCCAGCGTGTCTTAACACTGGAGGATGGATGACACAGGTTAAAGCTTAATGAAATGCATTGGGAACATTAGCAGTGGTAAGCTTGTCTGTGTCAAGCCGTTTCCGGCGCCTCCAAACCGCGGAACGACCTTGGCACAAAGTGCTATCCCGATGATCCTTGTCGGCCACTACTCTGTCCAAGGAACCAGAGCATGGAGGGTGTTATTGAATGTAATGTGTATCTGGCTTACTCTTCAACTGCGTAACTGTTTTGTTCGATCGATCTATACGGTTGTGTCCTTCGATCCAAAATTTTCGTTATGAGATTAGTAACAACAGCTATTCTCAGTTGTTGTTTACCAGTGACCAGAAGAAAGCCTATACGGAAACTACGCGCAGCAAGAAAACCACAGGTATGAATGTCCGCACCGGTCTAGTGATCAGCTATCAGGCTTACATTACTTGCAAGCTGTGACGATATCGTTGCACACTTCAACACGCGCTCGCACACTGATTTCTTCCACCCAATTCACTTACCAATTCCACCCACTGTTCACGCATCGAATTTGCTAACTCATTGATGGGTCATATTGCCAAGGAAGTTGGAACGCATTTCGAGGATGTTGGTGTGGCTTTCAACACCACAGTAGGTCATGAAGAATGCGCTAACGACAGTGGGTGCTATCGTGTTGCCTCTTTTACTTCTTGGATAACCTACATAGCCGCTTTTTCTTGAAAAATTAAGTTATCGGTCCTGTTTCTTTCCGTACTCCGTTTTCCACCTTCCCATTAGTCTTTGCCTTCTTTTTAACCGGTGTGCTCATGTCAAGTTCCTAATGGTTTCCACGACTACCTGCTCTAGCAGCCTGATCGAAAGGGTTACAAAGTAAGTCTGAAACGCATCCTCCCACTCTTGGATGCGCATTCATCGTTTGGCTTGTGCTCGTTCTAACCAATTGCTACAGCATAGGCTTACATTCTCATCATTTACACATCTCTGCACTAGTTGTGTGTTTTCTTCGTTATCTTGATAATGCTAACCACCGATCTCTTGGTTACCACAGTAATGCGGTCATCTGCTTCTCTTCCACATTCGCTCAGTGAAACTTGCTTTGCAGGCATTTCCTTCATGTACGCATTTATTTTGCCTTCTGACGCATGGCTTACTTCATCTCTGCTGCTGCATTCCGCAACTTTATGAAATCCATAGCCTTTCGTGCCACCACCTCAGTACATTACTGTTATCTGGGTCACGGGCAGGCATTTTTCCCTGTTCGGAATCCCTATCACTACTGATTGTTAAGGTGCACTGTGTAAATCGGTCAATTTGACCGCTAACGCTGCTGGTTCTGTGGATTTTGTCCAATGAGACAGTATGCTGAACGTGTCAGTGTTATTCGGCTGCATTCTCCATGCTTTTCATCGTATCGTTGAACAATCTCTGGATTTCACTTGAACATCTAGCGCTGTTCAAGCAACATTTTTCCATGTATACTTTCGACAGACACATGAAGAATTTTAGTTTGCTATCTTGAGCGGTTCAACCTCAACTGCTACTCCTGAGCACAACTAATGGGCTCCTTCCAGTCTTTGATCATCGTTGTCACCTAGGCATTGCTGTTGTCGGATGGCACCAGTGTGTCCGCAACGATGATGTGCATAGGCGAACACTAGTCAGTAATAACCATGTTAGTTCCTTAGAACAAGTAGCACTGGATAATTTGCGTTGGCTTGGGCATGTAATACTTATGCCTAGTCACCGCTTACCTAGGAGAGCCTTGTTTAGTCTCTCATATGTGGAGTAGCGTAAGACTTGAGATGCACAGTTGACTTGGCATAGAGAAATGAAGTCACTGACAACCGTACTGGGTGCCGCCGTTGCGTCTCACCTTCCAGACTGGAGTCCACGTGACTCGCCTTGTTCTTAGCTTGGGACTTTACTGGACATGGCTCGCAGTGGACACCAGTAGCGCGTCTGTTCCCGTCTCGTAGTCGGATTGCCTGTAAAATGTTTCATGTGGCCATTCAGCAATTTTAAGAGAACAAGAACGGGCAACATTTTTGCAAGATAACCTGAATTCACATTATTTCGTGTCTTCTCATTCAGCTGCTTACAGACAAATCGTGGAAAGAGTAAAGGAATGCAATTGAAAAAGGGGTTTATAAGGAAATCAATAAAACGCTGAGAAAATCAAGTTCATCGCCTACGTCTTACCTGGGTGAGGCAAGGCTGGCCACAAGGTCGATCTGTTTGCAAAGGGTAGGTTTCATTCACGGGTCGACAGAGGCTTCAGGGCAGCGAAGCACGCGTTGTTTTGTCTGCTGATAATCTTGAATGCATCACATGGGTTTTCTCACAAGTTACGATCTAGTAGATGCTGGGCGATTGAGTTGGCAGGAAGTTTAGGGTCACTATTTGCCAGATTCTGTGGAACATATTTCACGACCATGTGGCCAGTCTTGCCTTGCCCTGGTAAACCGTAGGAGATGACCTTGCTTTTCTCAGAGTTTTATTGATTTCCTCATTGACCCTTTTTCAGTTGCATTCCTTTACTCTTTACATGATTTGTCTGTAATCGGCTGAATGAGAAGACATGAAATAACCTGAATTCAGGTTATCTCCCAAAAATGTTTAAAGTGTGTTTGGTGCTGAGTTATCTGTGGCTTAACGGTTGCTTATGACGCGGGGCAGTGAAAGTCGCAAGGAAGTTATCTCGCTTATGGTTCCTTATTTGTGCACGATAGCCAGCTGTTTGTGACGGCATATTGTTGACACAAGGTGTTGGTGCCTTGACCTGAATGTTTGTTTAGGGCATTACGGTCTCACGATAGCTCCTCCTTCTCTCCCTTTTATTGTTCTTCGTTTCGTAGGTCGTTGTGGTTGTATGGCAGTGAAACATCATTTTGGATGGCTGATGTACTGCAGCTGATGATGGTGATGAGAAGGGGACCTAGCGTAAAACCTAAATGCCCCATGCAAAACATTCAGCGTTGATCATGCGCCTCATCCAGGCAATGCAGCTGACAACTTTGTTATCTTCAACACTTTGGCTGGATGACTTGCCATCGTTATCATTATGCGCGTTTGCTAGAAATGGAAAACACCTCAGCTATTGTGTCTCGATACATAAGAAAAGAAGAAAAAACGTGCGACCGAAGCGCGCCATCTGTGCCTCCAGTAACGGATGGGCATCATTCCGGAATGCTGCCATCCAGTATGGTGCAAAAAATTATGTTATGCAAACTTTACAATATGCTAGGAAATGTGATGGTGGTTAAAAGGGAAGAGGCAAAGAAACACCATAAACCCCATTCAGATCTGCTCCTAGCCATTTCAGCAATTGTATTCAGCCAAACGTGTTCATCGTCTTTCGGACCCAAACTAAGGAGCCCAAATGCTCCGACCGAGGCCAACTTCTAACTAAAGGCCTTCATTGTTCTCGACCAAGTCATCGCTTGGCCACTCCTCCTCTTCTTCTATCCACACGTCCGGCACGCAAACAACGCATGTCGCAAGAGTCGGTGTTGATATGCGCAACACGTGGCCCAGCCATCGGAGCCTGGGGCTTGAAACAACGGTGCAGAGCACTTCATTTCCTCTTCTTATGCCATTAACAAGGCATCGAACACGCTCATCGCCCAATCGGTGTTCCCGCCAGATGGGAGCCAAACTGCGATGGCACCGGCGGTCGAACGTAACTAACCTGTTTATGTCATCAGATCTAAGGGACCAGGTTTCACAACTGTACGGTAAGGTCGAACTTACCGCTGCATTGTACACTCTAGCCTTCAGGGCGGCAGTGATGTCTCGCCGACGCCATAAGTGGCGAAGATTTGAAAAAGCGCTTCGAGCTTTTGCCATGCTGTTTCAGACCACATCTTCCATTCCACAGGCGCTGATACAACTTCCCAGGTAGTTGGATTTTTGAACGACTTCTAGCTGATCCCTACGACGAGTCGGCGCAGGAGGCACTCCCTGCCAATCCTGGAGGAAAGATTTGCACTTCGAGGTTGCAAGGCAAAGCCTCAAAAGACTGACAGCCAGAGCTAATCTGTCCGGTGCGGCTTGACACGTTTGTCAGGTGTTATAGATGAGCGCATCGTCGTCAGCATACTCCAAGTCAAGAAGTCGTTCTTCTTGGAGCAGCTCCACACCTTTAAGTTGTGTCCTATGAATGCGATCTCCATGACTTCGTCAATAGAGAGGTTGAAGAGGAAAGATGACATCGAGCATCCTTGTCTTACACCGCGGCGACAGGTTGCCGTAAACCCTTACTCTGCCTGACCTTCGCGCGTTTAGCGCTCAGGTAATGTTTACATATTTATAGGGCTCACCTTTTCAGAGTAAACAGTACCAAATCCTCCATCAATCAACCGAATCGTAGGCACCTTGTTATCGAGGAACACGACAACATTGGTTTGCCAATGTATGTGACGGTGCTCCAACGGCGGACGCAAATTGAAGATGTGGTCGATACAGCCACAACCTTGACGAGACTCGGCTTGCTTTTTACAAATCTGGCTTTCACGAGTGCCATCCGGTCGGTGGTGGATGACAGGCAAGCACTTTGGAGACGATGGAGATCAAGCTGATTCCTCTATGGCTACCGCATTCCGAACGGGAGCCTCCTTTGAAAACTGAGACTATGACGGAGCGGCTCCAGTCGGTTGGGACAGTTTCCTGCTCCCTCTGTTTCACTAGTAATTTGTGTAAATCATCAACAAGATCAAGTCCCTCGTGTTTGAAGATGGCTGAAGGAAGATCATTTGGTCCCGCGGCTTTATCTAGCTTCAACAGTCCGATCTCACGTTCGACTTCTGAGCGAGAAGTTGAATCCAAAGGGACAGTCCAGGGGGGCAGGTCGGTCAGCGACCGACCACAAATCTGACAATTCCGGCTGATTACATTGCTTTTGAAGGCGTTCAGCGCAGTGCTGCAAACGTTTTTACAAGTTGTGGATAGGCTGTAATCTCGACATTCTATTGGGACTTTATAACTTTCGCTGACCTCACCATTGTGCATTGCAGTCTTCAATCTAAACGCGTAGCTTGGTGTGATATCGGCCATCTTCAAACGGTTTTCCACTGGCACGGAACATAGGGTTAGAGCCATCTTTGTCTTGAAATAGCATCTCACACTTTGAGGGTACAAAGCAAACGCCGAAGTTCGGAACACTTTCTTCCACCCTATACAAGACGATTTGTATACGATTTGGGTCCGACTTCAAACGTTGCCTAGTTACCAACACACTTTGGTTTGCCAATCCTCTGCTTTATGCAATATGACCAGACCAATCATTGGTGGTCATTAGGAACACAAAGAATGATGGAAAAATAGGATAGGCTTGATGAATGCCACTTTCACTTGTGAAGTTTCATTTAACTATTACATCATTCTGGAAACACATCATGTATTTCTTTCTTAGAAGAGCTTATTCGTGCTATATCGCATTTAGCTTCTAAGTCATGACGGTTCGCCAATATCACCCATGATTCAGTGCCATAAGATGCTAGCTGGCGGCGCAAGACCCTCGTGGTGGGAACACTCGCAGAGCAATGAGCGTCTTCGACACCGCGTATTTAATGCAGTAAGAGCACCCAGCACCTTTATATCACATACCAAACTCCCATGACTTGCCCACGTGTTGCGCATGCCAACACACCAGCTCCCGCAATGAGGGTTGTTTGCGTGAGCAGACTCTGGATGGAAGTAGAGGAGGCGAGCGAAAGCAATGACTTAGTCAAGACGTATTGAGACCCGCAGTTCGAAATCGGCAGTCGCTTAATGTCTCCCGACTGCCGGTGAAGAGGTTTGGTTGAATACACTGGTTAACATGGCTAGGAGCCAATCTCCGTGATGTTGATGTTGTTAGTTTACGTATCCCT